GAGCCAGCGGCGGAACCGACGCCGGTTGGCATCCTGTAGATGCTACTGGCAGGACTGCGGGAGGTAAGGGCAGCAGTGCCCAAGTCCTTGGCATGTCCAGCGTGAGAGTTGGGAGTAGTAGTCTTCTAGACTCAGACTTGAACCCTCATGCATCTGCTGTAAATCGTCCCTCTGCTGGTGCTGCAAGCTTTGGTTCGATTGGAACTGTTAGTGGGGCTTCGGGTAGTAGCCAGTCTTTCGGTTCGGGAATGGTTAGTGGGACTTTAGGTAGTCAGTCTTCCATTCCGGGAATGGTTAGTGGGGCTTTAGGTAGCCAGTCTTCCATTCCGCCCCCATCTACTCCATCGAGTGAGTGGTGGGGATGTGTCGCCAGTGGAAACACATATATTCCTGGGGTCGGCATTAATAACACAGGAGAAAACTTGGGTAGGAGTCCTTTTCAAAGTTCCCAAAGCTTCTGTTTTTGACGGGACGGACGTGTCATATCCGTCGTGGTCACAATTGTTTCTACTGAGTGCCCACAACAATAATCTGTATGAGGCTTTTGTTTCTGTGCTACATGTAGAGATTTCGATTGCAAGCATTGAATTCGATCTGACCCCCTGGGTAGAGAAAGGATACAACATACATGGGTGTGCTGTGCCAGACTGAGATATCAAGGTGGATTTTGTTCGACTGTTTGAAGAACTCTCTCAAAACCATGGCTAGGCATGCAGGTTTCCCCAGCAAGGCATTTCGAGTGTTGAAAGATCACTTTCTACCCTTGAGCCAGAGCACTGTCTGGAACCTTGGAGTTGGTGTTTGTGACTGCTGATTTGAGTTTCTGTAGAGTTGGAGCATGTATTGTAATCTCCCAACTTGGGATATCACCTCTTTTCTCCCAGCGCAGATTGGTGGTGAGTCATGGAATTACCTTGCTTGGTGGTCCTGATGGTGTGATGACTGTTTTCGACGGACATACTATTTTTCAGAGCTTCGATGGCATGCTAATTAAGACTGCGTATCGTCTTGAAGATAAATCTGTTGGTTCGGTGTTAACTGCCCTCACTCCTTCGAACCCCAAGCATGAATCTAAGATGGATGTGAACGAGTTTCATAACATTTATGCTCATTCGCATGAGGGATTGCTTCGTACAACTGCAAAGCGACTAGGTATCGAGTTGACCGGTAAAATGCATGCTTGTACGGGATGTTCGATGTCGAAGGCATTCAAGAAAGGGATTGCTCATGAAACAAAATGCAGATCAGACAAAAAGTTGGGCAGAGTTTTTGTTGACCTGGGAGGGCGGAAGGACGTTGCGTCCGTAGGGGGTAAACATTACCCCATGATAGTGAAGGATGATTTCACAAGACGGACATGGATGTATTTCCTGAAAAGTGAATCAGACGCTGCGAGTGCTTTCCGGAGTTTCCTTGCAAGTGTGCGTGCTGATGGTATCCCATCATTGGTTGAGATTGTTAGATCTGACAATGGGGGGGAGTTTGTCGGAGGAGAATTTGCGTCCGTGTGCAACGAGCTCTTGATTAAGCAAGAGTTCACCCCGGCTTACAGTCCCCAATACAACGGTGTTGCAGAGCGTGGTTTGGGATTGATTGAGGCGGCGGCAATGGCTGTTCGTAATCAGGCAAAAGTTTTGTTTGGGCATGTGCAATTACCTAAGACTGATAGACTATGGGCTGAGGCGATGCATTGGGCTTGCGAAGCAATTAACCACACAGCTTGTTCCGCTAATCCCGACAGTAAGTCACCGTATGAGATGTGGCATGGTGAAGCTAGTCATGCTAGACCGTATCCGTTTTTGAAACCGGCGTACTGTAGGTGGCAGCGTCCGTCTAAGCTGCTACCGAAGGGTGAGGCTTGCTTTTATGTCGGTCCTTCGAGAGACCACCCGCGTGACTGTCATAGAGTACTTACGAGGGCTGGAACTATTCAGGAAACGAGGAATGTGACATGGGAAGCGTTGCCGTCACAGCTCCCTCCACCGCAACCGTCTCTCTTGCCGATAGAGGTTGCAGAGCAGGGAGGGGAGGAACGTGACGACGATATAGAAGCTGAGGTATGGCCGCTTTTAGGGAGAGGAGTTCCCCACATTCTTTTGCGACGTGATATCTCTGGTGGAACAATCGATGAGGTTGGCAGTGTTGATGCAGGCAGTGTAGGTCAACCCCCCTCTATGCCATCTTCGCCCGCGATTAATTCCCCTAGTAGCGCAGCTCCCCCTGTGTCTTCTCCAGCAGACGAGTTCTCCGATGAGGGAGGGCAGGGAGGGCCGGAGACAGGGCAGACAGAATCGGCGGGTCCGGGAGGGCAGGAGGTAGAGTCGGAGAGTCAGGAAGGTTTGGATGAAGAGTTGGTTGAGCCGGGAGGGCAGGAGGTACAATCGGAGGCATTTCCCCCTGCTACGCACGTACCATCCAATCGTCGTGCGCGGCATGAGCTTGCTAGTTACAACACTGCTATGAATGAGAATGTTGAGGTCAGAGAAGGCAGAACCCGTGCGGAAACTCGGGCAGTAAATCAGCAGAGCGTACCCGGCCTCATGGCCACTCTAGGACCCATCTCCGCATCAGAAATAATATTGGCACTCTTAGTCGAACAGAGAGCATCTGATGCAATGGAATTGCCGAAAGTACTAATTAGATGTAGAGTCAGAACCGGGTAGCTATCAAGAAGCCCGCCAATCAAAGTATTCCACGATTTGGGACGAAGCCATGTCTGTAGAATTTGAAGGCTTGTTAAGAGCAGGAACGTTTGCGTTAGCAGTAAAGGCTCCGATAGGCTGTAACGTGATAGATGCTAGATGGGTCTACAAATGGAAAGCAGATGAAACAGGCAAGATAGTGAAGGCCAAGGCTAGGCTTGTAGCGAAGGGCTTCAAGCAGAAGCATGGTGTGGATTATCTTGAGACTTTCTCGCCTACTGCAAATGCTGCATCGATTCGTTTGTTGGTAGCATTGGCGTGCAAGTATGATTTGGAATTTCTTCACTTTAACATTGAGCAAGCGTTTGTTCAGTCGGAATTGGATCACGAGGTGTTCATGAAGTTGCCTCCTGGCTGTGAGTCGATGACAGGAAAGGTAGTCCGTTTAGACAAGAGTTTGGACTGAGACAGGCATCTAGAACATTTCACAAGAGACTTGTGTCGGACCTGAAGAGGATTGGTTTCGAACAGTCTCTGTCTGACCCCTGCGTTCTTCGTTTCATGATGGGAGACGAGGTGTTGGGTATGATTGCGATTCATGTGGATGGCATTCTGTATGCAGGAATTGAGAGGCTTGCCAAGATGGTTGTGGAACCGCTAGGTGACTCTCCCCCCACGAAGAATTTGGGCGAGGTCAAGTTCTTTCTTGGTTGCGCATTCGTTCGCGACCGCAAGGCTGGTACGATTGAGATGTCTCAAGAGAGTTACATCAGGAGTGAGTGTTCTCGAGAGATTCAATGTTTGTCGCACCAGCTCGATCCCTGCTTCCCCTGTTAAGTGATTACAGGTCCGTGATGGAGGATGAGGCGGCAGGGGATGTGCCGTTCCGAGAGGTGGTGGGGAGCCTGATGTGGATCGCCAACCAGACAAGGCCCGACATCTCAAATGCTGTGCGGGCGGTGGCGAGGCACTCTCACGAGCCAAAGAAGAGCCACTGGAAGGCGGCCCAGAAGATTCTGAATTATCTTCTGGAGACGGCACATCTAACTTTGAAGTACAAGCAGGACACTATGGTAGACGTAGGCACGTTGGTGTACGTAGACGCAGACTTCGCCAGTAAGGCCACTGACCGTAGATCAGTTTCGGGAGCACTAGTTCTTGTAGCTGACTGTCTTGTTGCTTGGATTTCTAGGACGCAGAAATGTGTCACACTTTCAACAACTGAAGCAGAGTATGTTGCGATGGGTGACGGTGTGAAAGAGGCTCTGTTTGTCAATGGAATGCTCGAGTTCTTGAGGCCTAGTGAGAAGCTTGGTAAGATCCAGGTACGCGAGGATAACGAGGGTGCGATTGCACTTGCTGAGAATCCACTTAGTTCGTGTAACAGTAAGCACATTGACGTGAGGCACCATTTCCTTAGGAATTTGACAGAAGAGGGAGTGTTGGAAATCAGTCATGTCGCTAGCGAAAGACAGCATGCGGACATCCTGACGAAGGCGCTGCCGAGAGATCTTTTTGAAGTTCATCGTAATTTTGCTCTAGGCTCGAGATCTGAGAAGTAGAGGTCTGAGTCGTGTTTTATTTTGGTTTGTTGTTTTTCTGTTATATATTTGATCTGGCCGAAGACAACAGCCCCAAGGGAGGGTGTTCGTGATAGTTGCTGCTGTGTGTGTCGACAGAGTAACGTAGCACAATATGATTGGGACAGTTTGAATTGAGGGACTGTCGATGTTGCAGATCGCTGAGTAGCCACATATTATCAGAACAGCAAGGAACGTTCTGTAGGAATGCTCCTCGTGGATGGTGCATTTCCCCGAGTGTATTCTTTATGGATAGTGCATCAACCAGAGGATTCATGGTACGTTGTGAAGTACGTTGGCCCCCTGTTGAGTCGTTGTGTTCCGATATTGTGTTCTGCTTTCGTCCGTTGGTCGAGCGACGGGTGGTGCTGCGGCGCTGCGGTGCTCGCCCCACCCTTGCTCACTCCACCTTTTGACCTGTTCTCCTGGTCCAAGGTCTCATCAATACAACATCTTTTCCCCAGAAGCCACGAGTTTACCAACAGACCTCGCATCCCCACAAAGCCGGGACGGAGCACGCCGGGTTCTCGCCGGACCAGGCTCTCACATCACCAAGCGCGAAGCGCCGTGAGGTATTCGGCGAGTCGCATGAAGGGTGCGCTGCACCCTGCTAAGGGTGTTCGGCATCTTGTGCTTACTTCCTTGCGTACGGATGACAGCTCCGTATGACTTAATTTGTTTTCTGGTGCTTTCACTTCCAGAGACAGTTGTAAGCACTGTGTAACTGCCTCGAGGGTGTTTGACCAATTTAACACAACGTGGTGCGATCATCCCCCTTGCGCGCAGTGAGGGTTCTCGACCCCGCACAACATGATCTACTCAACCACCATTATGGTTACCGCAAAAAAAAAACAAAGGAAAAAAAAACGGTATTCTGGTAGCCAAACACACGATGTGACCGGCTTGTTTTACAACATCGCTGCCAAGCGACGAAATCCCCAACCTCGATGGCAAACACCGGGGGGGAGGGAGGGGGGGAGGGGGGCAAACATGTTGCGCGTGCTCGACGCAGCGGTGGCGCCTTAACGAAAAGTGCGCAGCTAGTGCTGCAAGGACCGTACCAGCCGGAGGAAAAGCAGAACGAAGACAGACACCGGTAAAAGACCACGGCATTGCACCGCACGTTTTCCATCGAAGAAAGAGGCCCCAAGTGTAAGTATCATGTACTCACACGCGCGCTTCTTGTCACACGCAAAACGTTTCTTGTAACGCTGCAAGACTTAGACTAGACGGACGCTTTTTTCACTGCTCAATCGGTTCAGTGTGGTGCGGTGCTTCCAAGAATGTGCCCATACAAACCTGCGACTCCCCCGCCGGGGAAGTCCGTCAAAGCAATCCAGCAGTGTTGGTATTTGCTTCCAGTTATACGACTGGCGTCCGTCGAAATACGCTCTTGCGTTTCAGGGTTAACCTCATGTATTGTATTCCGGAGCTGAGCGTCGGACGAAACTTGTGGTGGAAGTGTCGGCGTCGGCGCGTGCTCTCGTCTCGAACAACCTGCAGGCTTTTGCCAAGCAGAGTGGAGCCCCGCCATAAAGAGGGTTGGATTGCAGTAGGATCATCCGCGCGATGTCCAATGCCCCATATGGCATCGAATGGGCTTCGACGAGCATTTTGTCGCCGGTGCCCAAAAGATGTTGTCGCATAGCGGGATTTTGCGAAAATTTGTAGTAGGAAGCGACACGCACCACGTTTTCACGCTCGCGCTCCCAAACAGCTTCGTCAAACCCTTTAACTTGGCGTCCGTAACGCTTATGTTTCATCGGGTCAGAAACACGCATAATCCGCCGGAACGCATCATGGTCGCCAAAGAGACGAGCCTTGGCACCCGCGAAGAATTATTCTCCACAAGAGTATTCCAAACCATCTACAGTAAAGATGGAGGGCGTCCATTGCGAGAAAACCGACGGGGCTTGCCAGAACAACACCATGTCAGGTGCGCGGTACTCCTTGTTCGGATCAAACGCTGGTGGTGACCACCTGGCGTCGGTCGGAGGAGGAGGGTAGATACGACTACCAGCTTAGCGGAGGAGGGGAATGTCTGTTTCCCCGAGTCCTCACTCTACCAACAGCACAACCCGGTGGTGTATAGTCTGTAGTGCTTTCGCTAGAATCCCTCACGTTGGAAACATGACGGACCTCCCTTGACGAGGGTCGCGAGTTTTTCGCTGTTTGTTCAGCGAGGGGCGCAATCGGAGCGTCCTCCGAATACGGTGTTGTCAGCACCTCCGTGGTCGCGGTTGGGGACCGCTCAGTTTTGGTACTCCGCGAATCGCAAACCACGGAAAATCGACGCATATTTCTTTCAACGCAATCTGTCATACTCGCTTCACCGTGCGGCGAGTGACTTTTATCACCGTCTCGAGTTCCATCGGCTTTATCGCCGCAGGCTGTCGATGACCCGTACGCAGTGGACATGTCCAAAGCATCGCTCGAGGTGGCTAAACCCGGCGACACTTCATGTATGGTCGACAACGTAGGTGTCCTAACGGTCTTCCACGAGGACGTCTGAGCGGACCCCTTGGGCATGCTCGACAATCCCGACCTTCCGTACCCGCACCTCAAACCGACCCTTGCATTCGTGTAGCCAACACGTAATGGTTCAGGCTGGTTTGCGGGCGGCAACGTGGTGTAATCGTGCGTTGTGCAAGCTGCTCGAGCTGTGTTTAAACTCGGGGAGCCGCCTTCAAGACAGGTCACTCCTTGAGTTCGTAACCTTGGGGGTATGTTACTGACGACAGCGCTGAAGCTGCCGTGTGTGCAAGCTGCTCGAGCTGTGTTTAAACTCGGGGAGCCGCCTTCAAGACAGGTCACTTCTTGAGTTCCTAACCTTGGGGTATATGCGTTGATGACAGCGCTGAAGCTGCCGTGATCGGGAGTGTGGGCTACACCATCTGCACCCGATGAAGCCGAGGCACTACCGCTTGTAGGGGAAGTCGGTTGTAGGAACGGGGGGAGTGGTACACTCGACCGTACCTACTATACGCGTCCTGCGACACATATCTAGCTGCTCCCTGTTTTGCCATCGGCAGGTCGGGGAGTAACGACAAGCCGCCGTTGGGCTCTCAGCTACCAGCATTATACGTTCCAGGAGTGCGGGCATTTGGGTTTGAGTCCACGGGGAGTCGGCTGTTGATTCGTAACGCCGGTTGCGCGTGTGTGGCAGACGCGGGAGCAGTACCTGCATTAGGCTGGTATGCTACCAATGTGTGCTGTTGGGCTGGTGGACTAGATTGCAGCTCGCCCGGTGGTGGCGGTTGATGCCACGTCTGAGTGTATTGTTGCGGGTGTGGAGCGTTACCTGCGTATTGAACTCTATGAGCTGGTCTGTGGGAACGGCGCCGGTTTTGTTGGCCATTCGAGTTGCGTGAGCCGTGTGTTGTGGCAGTCGCAGACTTGGTCCTCCAGGACCGCAAGCGCTCTTGCCACAGGCGAAACGTGTCATCACCATCAGTCAGTGCACCTAAATCTGGGTTCAGTACACCACTAGCATTGGTGAAAGGTTGTTCATAGTGTTTGATAGAGTGACCAGACCCGCGACAATTTAAACAACGGCCAGCATTCGCGCTGAACGCTTGTGCTCGGTCGGCTCTAGTCCTAAGGAGTGGTGTCCAAAGGGGGGGCAGTTGACGTTTGAAACCATTGGAAACAACAGATGCACTGTCTCCCAATGATCATCGGTGGCCAGCGGCCAAGCATCGTAGCTAACACAAAACACATCATGAATTGGCTCTGACCGATTTGCTACGTGCTCCCTGAGAGCTCCAAGGCTGCTGCGATTGCGTCGTCGAACGTCCTTGAGAACGACTACCGCCTTGCGAATGCAACGATAATCCACAAAGCGAGAGCGTAGCATATTGCTCGCCATTCTCAGCCTTAACCTTAGAGGTCGTGAATTCATTCAGCACTCGCCACATCTCATCCAGACTACTGTACGGTCCTGCAGACGACGCTTGTGTAATGAATGGTATTTGACCCCCTTCCTTCAGAATCAATCACCTTTGAGCTGTGTGGAACTCTCTTGTCCGACCACAGTAGCAGGTTGTCGTTGCTTTCCGTTGTTCTCTTCTCTTGGTTATCGCTTTCCAAGCCAACTCACAATATCCCACGCACACACGATCATAGATCGCCTGCACGCACACACGGGAACAGCAGGGCACATGTCTCGGCATAAAGCCCTGATCTAGCATGACGTCACGTCTTATCATCCGACGGCGCCAAAGAACCATGATCAACCACGATCACATGTCTACCTCCAAATACCATAACAGCATTCCTTAACATGTGGCCCTTGGGTCCAGAGGACATGCGTCTATCAACCTCTTGCTGAAGGGTCAGCGAGGCAGCGAATAAGAACTCCGTGAGACCTTTCTCTTTTTGGGACCAATCACGTTCCTTCCCGTTTATTGCCGATCCGCGCTCTACGCAACGGCGCTACAATATGCAACGGGCCCTTCCGCCCCCGCCATGTTCTTGAGCGCGATCCATGCATCTATGCCCCACATGCCGGGTTCTCCCTCGACCCGCAAGGCTTGACGAACGGGCAACAGTCACGTTTCTTTTGAGGAGGCGTTCTCGTGGTCGAGACCTGTCTACCAAGTACCTGGTTTTCAGGGAAAACCACCCCTGTGAAGGAATTAATGGAGATGGGGGAGGGGGGGGATCGATCGTGTTCTAGCGGGTAGGTTTGAGTTTTGTCCGCGAAGCAAGATATTTAGTCATCGTCTCTCCTCAACTAACCGAACGGACGCACATCTCGGCCCCCAAGGAATCTATAGACTACTTTCCGTGCAAATATTGTGCGCGAAATTCCCGCTTATAGCTTCGCTAGTGAAAGCTGGGGTCCCCGGAAGGCACCCAGATCACCAAAAAAATGGCTTTTTTCCAGTCATTTGAAGGAGATACCCAATCGTCTCTGTTCGTATCGATCATGCGTACGGGTTTCATCGTGTATGTGTTTCTTGTAGACATCGATCGCGTTAAAATAGGTTGATCATTGACAAAACGTCCTTTTCAAATGAAAATAGCAGATGGGGAAAGAACGAAGTTTGCCAACGCTTTCCTTGACATCGGAGACTCTCCTCTAGCGTGCCGAATGAGCGCTTGACCAATCCCCTCCTTGCTGTTCTTCCTACTTGCTACAACGTAGATAGTAAAACACTAACCTTCCCCGCAAATCTTTCCTGCAACACCGGCAACAAGTTGGACGAGTTTAGACTATATTATGCATGTACGGTCTAAGACGCCGTTATCTTGCAATGGCCCCCGAGCCAAATACTGCCACCTCCAGCTTCGACAAATGGAACATCGAAGAAAAAAATTCCGCATGAGCTCGAGGGTCAGCAGGGGGGAGGCAACCACACCAAACCGACAGGCCAGGACGATCGACGAAAAAGCACAAATCATATGCCAAGAATCGTGGTTTCCACGGATGATGGAAGTCGAGGCACGTTGGCCAACATGCGTTGCGCCTAACGCCGTGCACCCCTACCTCGCAACAGTCCCGCTTATGTCCACAGCTAGATTACTACGCAGCGTACTATATTACTGGCTACCCTGTGGCCCACCGCCGCCACTGCCCGCCGACAGTGCCGCATGGACATCGGTACCAATCCCGGCCTTCATGGTCGGGATCACGGATGTCATTCGTTGGCGATGACGCTATAGGGCGGGGTGAATGCTGGCGTACCGGGTTGCCGCGGCGGCCGCCAAGTCACCATTGGCCAAGCGGAGACTTGGCATGCGGGGTTCGATCAGGAGGAACCTTGTTGTCGTGCAAGCACGATGACCGTAGGCAAACGAAACACGGGGGGCCAAGTTGTCACTCGACGAGAGGGCTGCGAGGTTATTGTGTTCGGGACATCTCTGCGTGCACGACCTCCTGACGGTACATGATTGGGTACTCGTCGGACTCTAAGAAGCACGTGTTAGATTCAACAGCAGTTCCCGACGCCATCAAGATTCGTTCGGGAGTAAGAGTGACATTCCACCAAGATCTCGAAGGTGGGCGGCGGGGTAGCGTAAGACGAGTTGATGGAGCGTACCTCGTTGCTACGCAGCTCTCGTCCGGGATGACCAAGCACCTGTTTCCCTTGTTGTATCCCGGTCTGCATTTGGTAATGAAACAACCGGCGAGACGAAGAGCCAGATACTAATTTCACGAATGACTTCGGGGAATCTACAGCATACACACGAGGTTGGTTGACTAAAACGGCCACGGGGACCGGAAGCACGCGGGAGGTATGCTGCTGTCCGAACCTCAAGCATGGAGTTCAGCGTTTCAAGGAGCGTTGTTCGTAACGCGTTCGTGAATGGACCGAGGGGAAGTGCTCATCAAGACGTGCGAAATAACGTTGGTTCTGGGGGGGAGGAGAGGGCAAGCAAGCGCCACATACGCTTCTTTCCATGCCTACACTATGGTTGTGTCGCTAGGGGACCAAATTGATCAGCGGTCAACCAATCAGAGCAGTCCGCTCGCCCATTTGGCATGGTTCTCGAGCCTACCATTAGAAGCCCTTTGCACGATCAACCAATGCCATACCTGTCAATGACTTCGCAGACAGCAACGATGGCAGGTGCTTGCGGCGCGTTGACGGCGGGTGGGTCCACCGTGTTCCTGTTCCCGCTGACACCACGAAATGCAACGCCTTGCGTCGAAAGGCTTCCAACAAAGGAAGTGGCAGAAGGAGCAATACCGGTAGGATTGACAGCCGTAATAGAACCACGGGCACTGGCAGTCTGTGTTGGTCTGTTGACGGCGGGTGGGTCCACCCTATTCCCGTGCCCACCGGCACCACGAAATGCAAAGCCCTGAGTCGAAAGGCTTCCAACAAAGGCAGTGGCAGCAGGAGCAACACCGGTAGAATTGACAGCCGTATTTGAACCACGGGCACTGGCAGTCTGTGTCGGTCTGTTGACGGCGGGTGGGTCCACCCTGTTCCCGTGCCCGCCACCACCACGAAATTCGGCGCCTTGCGTCGAAAGGCTTCCAACTAAGGCAGTGGTGGGAACACTTGTAGCATTGGAAACCGTACTGGAACCACTGACATTTGCTGCTTGAGTCGGTCTGTTGACGGCGGCTTGGTTCATCCAGGCCGTGGTAGCAGGAGGAGCACCACTGGGGGCAATGGTAGCTGTGTTGGAGACACTGGCACTGGCGGTTGGTCTGTTGACCCTGGAGTGGTTCACCTCGTTCCCGTGCCCGCCGCCACGGAGAAGTGCAACGCCTTGCGTCGAAAGGCTTCCACCAAAGGCAGTGGCAGCAGGAGCAACACCGGCAGCATTGACAGCCGTATTGGTACCACTGGCACTGGCTGCCTGGGTCGGTCTGTTGGCGGCGGATTGGTCCATCCAGTTTCCGTACCTGCTACGACCGCGAAATGCAATGGCTTGCGTCGGAAGGCTTCCAACAGAGGCCGTGGCAGCAGGAGCAACACTCGTACCATTGACAGCCGTACTGGAACTACTACCGGCACTTGCTGCCTGGGTCGGTCTGTTGACGGCAGCTTGGTTCATCCGGTTTCCGTACCCGCCGCTACCGCAGAATGCAACGCCTTGCGTCGAAAGGCTTCCACCAAAGGCAGTGGCAGCAGGAGTAGTACTGGTAGCATGAGCAGCTGTACTGGAACCACCGGCACCAGTATCATCACGAGCGCAAGCATGAAGACGAGCAGCGGCAGCAGCGGCAGCAGCGGCAGCAGCGGCAGCAGCAGCAGCAGCAGCAGCAGCAGAAGTAGCAGCAGCGGTAGGAGTAAATGCGGGGTCTGCACGGCCAGCAGAAGTTGCGGCGGCAGCAGCAGCCACGACCGCTGGCGTCGGCACGATCGCCGCCGACGCTGGAAAGGGAGTCGCCCTCAGCCCGGTCGCCCTCTGCTCGACCGCGCTCAGCCAGTTTCTCATCGCAGCTCGAGCCGAAGTGATATCCCTCGTGTACGAAAGCGACACAGAAAGGGTTCCACCCATGTAGATGCCGTGGCCGCCAGTTGCCCCGTTCGACATGTACTCCGAGCCTGTCGTTGACGATGGGGTAGAAACGTGGGAAATCGTGCGTCCGGGGGGCACGTCCTCTCGGCACGTATGAGGGGATGTCTTCTGCCCGCAGGTCCAAAATCATGATTCATGAATGCACGTAGCGCTTGCGAAATTCTAATGCTGATACAAAGTAGCGAATACACGATCAACGCAGCGGGTGATATGCATGCGCAACCGGGTGAGGGTGAGGGTGGCGGCAATAGCGTTCGTGCTCACGCTAATGGAGTAGTCAAGCAGAAACAAGGAGAGTGAAATTCTTGCCTGAGGACAACGGGAAATAAATAGGTGTAACATACCATGAACAAAAAGGTAGGTGAAACAAAGAGGCACACCCTATATAGCTGTTGCAGAAGGGTTTCCAACCGTGCTCAAAACAGTGCTTCGTACGAGCTGATTGGCACTGTAGAGGCGTGGAGGCAGCAACGAAAGAGGCGGAGCCCGTAGACAGAAAAAAAAAACTCAAGCCTCTTACCAAAACGTGCCTAGATAGGCCCTGTCCATCTCGCACAGCTGCACTCTCTGTAAAAAGGGCTTACGTTACGAAACTCCCGCGCCATGCACGACGATGCCACGTTTATTGATCCGTTGCGTGAGAAACCTCACACGACAAATGTTACCATTTCCCGATGTCTTCGAGACCATGTTCTCTGGGGAACTTCATGGACGGGGTTTCGACACCACCAACGTAAAGTTGGAGTGGTGGTGATGCCGTTGTTGCTGTGACCTCTTTGGTTCGTGCTATCTACCATCGTTCTTATTGCGGTTACAGTTGTCAGGGATCGTTTTTCACGGGTCTACCCGAACAAGTTCTGTAGGCCAATGCCAGGATATCCGTAGCTCAGCATCGAAAAACGCATGCAGTCTCAATGCCGTACTCCTTCACGACAGAGAACATCGCTGCTCCAAGGAATAGGAGAAACGGATAACACCCTCGCATATCGGACCAGGATTAACCGCAATCGATAACATACGTCCGTGATCACAGTCTTCTGCAACACTGTGGCCGATGCAACACGTACCGGACATGTTCTTGATGCCCAAGCGAAGGATTCCGTGCCAGTTGCCCGGAGCGCTGCCGTGGAAGGCGAAAAATGATCCCGTTCCGTTCGACGAAGCCGCGGCCTCCCGCTTCATCGCCTGAAAACGCTCCTCTCGCTCTGAGGTGTCTTCAAAATTGTTTCACCGCAAACAGAACAAACCCGAAATGGCCGAAAACACACATGAAACACGCAGAAAAACAAGTTGAGAGCAGAAACACTATTAGAGCGTATCAATGCATAACAAGTCTCATGTCAGCCTCGTGTTGCTCAGTGTTCATTTTATGGGGTAACAGATGACAGGAAAATCAGAGTTCAATCACAGAAAAACGGGCAAAAAATTGTGAAGAAGTGTTCTATCCTTTCGGAATTCGATTGGCCAACGAACCAGCTAAACAAATCAGGCACACAACACCAATTTTCCCGAACAAACCATTTCCTGATCAGCGAGAGACAGAAGGAGTCGGTCTTCGCGAGGGTGATCACAACAAACCGTGGGTGGAATTTCTCCCTACTGCGACTCGCTTTGGGATGGATCGTGAGGAAAGGTCTGGGAAAACGTCCAGAAAACGTGAAGGGCAGACAGATAGGTGGAGGCAGGGGAGATATTCTGGAAGACCTGGGTGGAAAGCTACAAGCAGAAATGTATGGAGAGTAGCACCACGTGCTGGACATGCGGTACACCGAACCTCTTGTGGTACTCAGCGAGGGGGTTCAATCTACAGTGCACAGCAAGAAAGCGTGGAGTTCCTATGCATAGGGGGGTTGAGCTGTGCACCTGTGAGCACGAACTGATTCTTGCATGAAATCCCCTCGATAGCTTCAGCTTCCTTCAACAGGTGCAGCTGCCCTCCATGAGCCCTGCGAAAAGGAAAAAGGCAACGTGCAAAGTGTTGAGGAGAGCAAAATACTTCCATAACCACACGGGAAGCCCATGCACTCAAGCGAGAACAGATCATAGTGTAATTTTGCTGAAGAGACTGCAGCGCAGAACCAGAACTAAAAAAAACTTACGAAAAACGGTAAAAAAAATGCGGCAGCGACGAAACCAGACACGGCGATTTGACAACCCTTTCGTTGCAAAAAACACCGCCGCAAGCACGCAAGGTCGCCCCTTTCCTCTAGAAACAACACCTCCAACTTCAATCACTCACGTCGACAGCAGCCACTCCAGCAGGGGGTACGACAGCGGGTTGATTTTCGACAACGCCTCCTTCAGGGGCGAAACCTCTCCGGTAGGGGATCTCCTTTCCCCCGCGTTGCTGCCCTCGCCACCTCCTTTGTCAATAACGACACCAGCGACAGCCTCCGTAGCTCCAGAACGAGCCCCATCATCACCACCATCAGCAGTAGCAGTAGCCGCAGAGGCAAAGGCAGCAGCCACTGGTTTGATCTTCGACAAAGCCTCGTTCAGCGGTGAAACCTCTCCGGTAGGGGGTTCCCTGGCCCCAGCGTCGCCGCCCTCGCCATCCCCCTCGCCATCACTGACACCAGCAACAGCCTCCGTAACTCCAAACCGAGCCCCGACACCAGCAGCAGTAGCAGCAGCACCATCACCAGTAGTAGCAGCAGCAGCACCACCACCACCACCACAGGCATCAGCACCAGAGACAGCGGCAGCAGAGCCCCCAACTCCACCACCACCACCACCACCACCACCCACTTGCGAACCAAGGGGTGACGGCGAAGAGAGACCTCCGACGCTGGCTTTTGGTTTCGCCTCGTTGCCAAGGCTTCCCTCCCCCCTGATGCACCGTTGCATGTCTGCCACAGACGGCAGTGCGTTCAGCACCAGGCGCACCTGGGTGTTTTGTGCATTTTCAGGCAGGTGTGATGACGATGGTTGTTTTGAAAATGGTGCGTGTTCTTTCCATCGCCGCGAGGAAGGTGCACGCAGAGGGGGAGGGATAGGAGTATTGTGCCATCGTGTTGAAGCTATTCAAACAAAACAAAAACGGGGACGAATGACGTCGTCTGTCGCCTCTGCAAGACTCCAAACACGCTGCTGTTGTCCGTGGACGTACGAAATGTATTGGTGTTCTGTGATCCATCGGTCAATCGTTGCGGGCCCTGGTTAGATCCTTCGACAGGTCTAAACTCACACGCATGATCACCTACACCACTCGTGTGGGCCATCGAAACGTAGTGTCAGTGCTGACGAGTCAAGCTAGATACCCCCACGTGCTAACACCCTCACTCCGACGTTTCGGCATGCTCGAAAAATATCGACTGAATTATTTGGAGGTGCGTTTTCGAAGGCTTCTTTCATCGATCCAGTGTGAGTGACGAAATATTCCTCGAAACGTAAATGCATACTGCCTCGTTTGGAGGACTTCTCCGCGGATGGATGATAAGTGAGATCCTCACTTTTTCGATGACACTCTCGTCCCTCTTGCGACCGGTCCCCTGAAGTCCAAACACCTACGCATGTACACATGACACGCGGCGGCGGGGCCATGTTGACGATCTCCATGACACGACACACGAACAACTACGGGGTTCAAAATTTGTTCAGGGTTGATGTTATCGACCACAGCACAACTCATGAACCACGAACCAGTCCCAAACTCCGGTCGTGGCAAACGACGGCACTCGTGTGAACCTGTCGCTGACTTTGATTGTCGACCTACTCCCTTCTGGAGTTTAGTTCTGCGAAATCTCCCCAAATGCCAATCAAAAATATTTCAAAAATATTTTGTTCCGCACCCATGAGAATCCTGGCGTTCACCCCTTGCAAGACGAATCAACAATTTCCTTGCCACGTACAGTAGCTTGTACCTTCATGGCGCGGGTACGCCACGGTGACTGCCATGCCTCTCTTCGCTGACCGCTTTGGCTGGTACCAGAAAATATCAGGCTTCCCACCGCTGGTTCTCTTGCTGCTAGAGCACAAGTCGGACACACGAACATCAACACCGACAACACAGCGACGGCAACAAGAACCACCACAATACCAAAACAGCTCATATCAATCCTCACCGCGTCTGGAAAGCCTAGCTCGGGCCGTGTGCCCTCCAAGGCTCTACGGAAGAGGTCGATCAACAGTTCCACCACCTCTCCGTTGTTGAACACCTGTTAGTGCTCGGAAAGCGTGTGTGCCGCCGTCATTGTTGTTGGTGGTGGTGCTGTGTCATCAGTCTTCACTTTAGTCTTCGTCTCCTTACAGAAACACGGAAAATTGTCCTGGCCTATGCGCACAACGACAGTAGACTTCCATCCAACCAGTGAGGCAGAACTGCCTTCCGTCACAAAAAGCGCAAAACAGGCCGAACATTTTCTTCATAGGAAACCCTTCACTGTGTACAGAGGTGTCCATCCAATGTTTTCACTCACCTGTCCTTCTACACCTCCCGCAGGACCAGGAAGGACGATGTCCGACTGCGTCTCGAAACGCGGTTGCTGTTTAGAGAACTTGGAACGCAGGGACGCGCCACTGTATGAATGTGAGGGCAGCATCCAAGGCGAGAACTGCATCGAAACCACGAAAGCGATAGCAAGGAGTCAACGGGACGGGATGGAAATGACATTACCAAGAGCACGCTCGAGTACCATCGCGGGTGTATTGCAGCAACACGCTGCACATGCCGGGGGTATCTTCGCCTCCACTTTGCTTCTCACCCCAGCGCATCTCGCCTTCAACCCCGAACGAGCAAAAACAAGAAAAACATTCCAGGGTTTCTGCAGTGCGGAAATTCCGTAGAACTCGGGAACGCGGTGTCAACACCGAACCAAACGTGCGGATTGGTAGGAGCGACACTCCAAGAGGTCCCTCGACATATGCGGCGATCAAATCTGGATGACTCGGGACCACTTCTAGACTAACAGACGATCGAAAGGACGGGTATTGGGCAGATAGCCGCGCGCACACCAGCAAGCGTTGATACCTTCTTCCCCACGCGCTGCCTCTCCGGGGGCATCGTGGGCAAGCGGGCAAACTCGAACTTCCAGCGCTTCCCGCGCTCCAAAACGCTCGAGGTCGATGTGCACAAGGGCTGCGTTAATAGTTGTTGGACGAAGGGCAGGGGAAGCGAGAGAGACACAGACAGGCAGGCAGACACACGGACAGACAGACAGACAGACGGGAAACTGGATGAGGAAAGCAGACCACCCCAGTTGTGTGCGCGTAGGGTTCAAGAGAACCTGGGCCTGCTTGGCACACTTTCCCCAGATCCTGGATTGCGATTCGATGCACGTTTCTGACCCTCTATTCGATGATGAGTTTCGTGCCCAACACGTCGGCCCCACCTGGTGGCACACGGTCGGCATCGACACGGTGTGCCCCTGTATTTGGTCGCCGCAAACTAGGCAGATCTCGGTAACGTTCTTCAGCCTTTCGATCACGGTCAGCGCCACACGAACCTTGGCATCGAGCAGGCCGGGATGAGAGAGGGTGAATGGGCGCACAAAGCAATACAGTGGCCTTCAAGGAACAGTAGCACGAACCTGGCGGTCCGGGCATGAACACATGCCTGCACGTTTCATTTCGTGCATGGTTGAGAAGAGCCCGCAACACCCCCCCAAAGGGGGAGTCGGCGTCGAACTACTCGTTGCCGCCAACCGAAAAGCTGCAACGACAACGATGACGACAACAACAATAACAACAACTTACCAATGGGTTTGTTTCGGCGAGCTTCTTCAGCTCAGCCCTACGGTACTCGTCTAACAGACCGTGGCCATCACCGGTCTCCCCCTTCGACTGAGGCGGCGGGTCCAACAGAAGCCCTCCCAGTGCCACGCGCACCACGGAGTCATGTTGCAGCTGGATGGACCCGGGATGTTCCGCAACGGCGTCAAAACAACACGCCTATGATGGGGGGACAGTTGGGGGTTACCGTTGGATAGAGCGAAACGGCGTTTCCGCAAGTGAGTTGTTTAGACCTGTCATGCCTTCGGTTGGTTGTTCACTCCCCCCTGAGAAGGGGAGCGCAACTAACTGGACCGCGATTCAAATGCCATTGCGGCCCGAACATATCCGTTGCCATTCAAACACTTGCCGTGCCGACCCCGAATACACCAGAGCACTTCGTACGGTTCGTCACACAGCACCGGCGAGATAAACCCTTAGCGCAATTACTGCCAAAGCAAGCTCCACGAATCCTACGAATCCTACGGGCGGACACCTGAAAATATCGGAAAGCAAGCGTGATTTTGACGCTGGCATTCGGCGAGCCTTTTCTTGTGTCCTGTCCTCATGACCTCGCAAACCCTATCGTCACACTTGATTGGCATCGTGGTCAACTGTGCACTGTTGGCACCGACTAAACCGCGTTTCTCCAAAGGCTTGTTCGGGATCAAATGCAGGTCAACAAGTGAGAAGTTCCAATCCGTCGCGGAAGTACTTCCATGTACGTCGTGTCAATGTTTTCGTTGAACGCATTCACAACCGAGACTCGCCTCGTCAACCTGTGGAAACCTCCTCTTCAGCTCAGTGAACTCCGCGAATGCTGCCTTCAGGGACGATCGCTGTTCCTCCTCGAGAAGGCAAAGCTGTGCCTTTTGCTCGTCGTACTGAAACAGGGGTGCGTATCGGGGGTGGGAGACCTCAGTAAGTCTTTGTTGCAAGGGGAAATTACCGCGCTCAATTAAAACCTTGTAGGAACAAATTTGTCCACATCCTGGGTAGCAGTTAGGCGTCATGAGCTATGTAACGCAACCTCGTCCATACACCACTGATACTCCCATCATCTCGTAGCACTACCCCGAAGCACCCTTCTCAAGGTACCTTAGAGATCCGCAGAACGTAGGCAGCAAAACCGGCCGACACCACCATGGCCTCGCAAATCATCTTAACCGCCCGACGTGTTGCTGCGCTGTCAAGCTCCCCCCCGTCCGTCTTCTTCTTCGCCTTCCCCTTCCCCTCTCCGGCCGCCGTCGCCGCCGCTACCCTACCCTCTCGAACGGGAGATCCGCCGTCGCGGCAGACATCGCCGTCCATCCCTTGCTCGGATTGATGTCCTCCCTTGACGTGTTCGTCGGCCGTGCGTGATGGCCCCATGCCTTGGGACCAAGCTCGCGTCAACTCGGCCTGTATCTTTCCGCAGAGCATCCACTCGTGCGGGAATGTCTCCCCGATGCTGTCGGTGGGTCGTCGGTGTCAAAGATTGGGTTTGTGGTGGTTGTTGTGGTCATCGCCGTCGTTGCAGATGGTTGTTGGATGATACATACACGACCCGTTCCAGAATACATAGTACATCGAGAATTCAACTGTCCCCATTCATTGTCTTCGTTGGACTTGGTGTCGAAGTAACTCCAGTTTACTGGGCGAGCCCCGGGATTCAGGGTCCTGGAGTGTTTCTTTATACCCCATGTAAAGGGGAATGCATTCGGACTCGAGGGCGGGTGGGCTTCTGTATTTGCAGTCGTAGACGAAAAACGAACTCTGTGACTCATCTGGTACGGCCACGCACAAGGGTTCACACAAGGCCGACACCCCCGGCAGAGCTCACTTGCGGATATACAGATAGGCTGACTTCGAGCGTAGTTCGGGTTGTTTGAGACACAATTTTACACCACAAACACCAACAGAAAGGTCAACTACCAGTCCTAATATAAGCCGTTTAGATGGTGTAGCCCCCACCTTCCGTAGGTGTCCATTTTCGGCTTGTTCATCGCCGCCCGTGCCACCTGCCTTGCCCACAATACTTTCGGGCACTTGCTTGATGACGTGTAGCCATAGTCGGTGGTGAGCATCACCTGCATGGTCGAGACGCGAACGGAGTGAACGATGTCTTCAGCTGGCACATCGGAATATGATGTCCTGCTTCTCCCTTGACGATTCTACGATAGCACATGTGAGGCCAAGCCACTACCCCGCGATGGCCCCTGTACCAAAATGAAACTGGCCGTTCCGGAGGCGAAAATTAGTTCAGCGTGGTCTTCGTAACTGAGACCAGAAACCGACGCCCTGTCCCTCGAAAAACGCAGCACTGGAGAAACAGATGCGGTGTGAAAGGGGTACGAATCATCGCTCGTATTGTCCTTACCACCACTCCTTTGCTGGGATCCAGGCCGACGGTCTCGACAGAAGTGCCAAGAGCACGGCCCTCGGAAAGCCTCCGAGGATCGATATATACCCAGAGATTTGTCAGGACCGAGGATAACTGGACCCTCGCGGTAATGCCGTCCACGCCGTCGATAAACTCGTCCGCATCAGCGTGCGCGTGATGCTGCGCGAAAGCATGCGGGGCGGTGCAGGCGCAGCATGGGTTCGAGGGGGTAGCGCGGTTTGGGTATCATACCGTTGTCGAGAAGCAACTTCGCAGCAGCGCAGAGGTGAAAAGAACGCCCTTGCGGCGTAGGGGGAGGATTTCATGAAAGCTATACGACGTCAGATTGGGATGTGCATCTGGATGCACCCATCAACAGCGTTGTTGGGGCGTTCGATATTTGGTAGTAGATATTGAAAGGTTTGCCGACATGCTCCCCTTTCCCAACGTGATATCCCGCGTACCTCCTGCTTGCATGCCAGAGATCAACTATTTGGTAGCGTTGACACTTGACAGCTCCAGGGCTGGATACAACACAATCCGACCCTCTTCCTGCCTCCTTTGTACACATTTGTGCGAGGTACGGAGAGCTCTGGGAAAAGAGCTCTAGACTGCGTGGGTATTGATGGGGTCCGGAAGAGGACCGCTTCTGAGCCGTCACAACCGCCACACCACCAGCAGCAGTACGCCACCCTGACGTGGTTCCGACGAGCAGATGCAAGCGCTCAACCATTAGACTACAGCAGTAGCGCCAGAACAGAAGGGTCTGAGAAAACACGCGAACAAATCTTACAGCCCACAAAAGTAATCACCTTCGGCCATTCTCCACATTCGCATTCCGAATCCGAATCAGAGTTGTAGTCATACTCTAAATCGTTTCCCTGGTCGTCCGAACCGTCGTCGCCGACATCGTCAGAACGCGGGCTTCCCTCTTTGGCAGCCACCGGCGAGGCACCCGCTGGTTTGCGTTTCTTTCGCATCGGCTCTCTTCTCTCAAATCGAATGAAACACACGAACCATCGCATGATCGCATAGGGTATGGGGTGGTTGAAGATTGGTTTGCGTTTCTCCGCGTGGCGCAGGCTTGTGCGTACTGCGGTGCGTGTGCTGCGAGCTCTGCAGGCATGCAACGGGGAGCTAAATGCGAGGATTCACGAGAGACAGTTGTGCTGTCTTCGCCTCGCTGCTGCGGAAAATCGGTGCAGGCTACAGGCCACAGCGGCAGGAGGCAGGTACAAGAGCATGCATGCAAGCAGCAGCGGCACTGAAAAAGATCACATGCACTACGCGTGCATACATGTCTGTGTACTGTTGCTGTGTACAAGAGGAGGTACGGATGAGCTTCCACACGAGAACTCACTCTCTTTCTTCAGATGTACCATCTGCCACCACGGCCATCCCTCCTGGGAAGGACCTCCCCACTTGGTCCGTCGAGGAGGCCATCCAGTCAATCGTCCCTGTGTCCCTATCGGCAAACCTGTTGTTTCGTGGAAGAGCCCACCACTGCTGTACTCTCCAGAGTTGGCTGGGGCGGGAGGCGGACAGAAGTGTACTCGATCGTGTGAAGGCGAATGTATGGGCCTCGCACTCGGGCGTGATCCCCCTCGGCTCCCCTCTTTATTTTATTTCAATCACGGCCTCTCCTACTCTGCCCACAGCGGAGAGATGTACAGCAGTTGAGGGCAGCACTCGTCAAAACATTGGTTGAATTTGATTGAATGGAAAGGAATATTCTTTGAAATTTCGGCGGTTGCTGAGATGATTCGTTTATTGTACATAGAGTAGCGCTAAATCTCCCACGTTGGCTTCCTCCTCACGCGCACGCCTGACATAGTGTTGGAGCTAAGTGGTGCAAGTGATCATCCGGCCCTTGTCTAATCAAGAGAAGGTCAATGGAGGGCATAACAAATCATTGCGGAGATCACTACAGGCAGTACTGGGCCCTGTTTAGTGCCGGTTGAATGGTGCCAGGTGCCCGGTTTAGTGCCGGTAAGGTCTCTGGACACAGGCACTATTGAGGGCATGCCCGATTTAGTGCCGGTTCGGCGCCGCTGTCACCCCCAATAGTGCCGGTTATCCCGCGCGAACACACACACACACACGGTTAGCGCGGTCGATGCCAATAATAAAAACACACACCTTCCTCCATAACAGGATGGTTCGAGTAGTCCTCAAGGCACTGCGCGAGTGCCATATGCCCATCGCCGTTGAGGATTCCTCCCCTTTTAGCACAGACAGGCACTGGTAGGGGGAAAAGGGGCTATCTATACAGATGGATTTATTTAGTAGTCCCCCCAGGATTACACGCAGGAGAGAAGGAAGAGGAACTCTGCACCAAGTCCATTCTCTTATAGACGTAACAACAATTGTCAACCCATCCGCAGGTCGAAGCATCGACAAGTCGATTCAAAAGCCAGGATCCGCCCTCGAAGATCGAGCTGCAAGTAAGGCAAATCACTATGCGGGAACTTTCAACCCGTCTAGATCTACCTTCCTTGCTGCTGCTTTTTCGACGAATGGTGGTCTTGGCAAAGGCACCAATCGACTCTCATCGTTGCTATCGCCCACCACTTGGCGCACGAAGCTTTTTGCCCGGGGAATTTCGACGACGAAAGAGCCTTTGAGTTCGCCTGAAAGCTTTTCATACTAACAGGATTCGGAGACGGTTTACCTTCGAGCTAGCTCGTTTTCTGTCGATACGAACTCGCGATGTGTTCAAACGTCATGGGCTACTGATCGACCAACTTCCACCAGGGCCAATCGGTTGGGATCTCTGCGACAACGTTAGTAATGAGGGTAATTATTTTAGGAGTGACGGAGACGAAGAAAAGGGAAAGGGAAGAAAGGAGGACGAAGACGACGATGGAGGAGGAAAACATGGAGGAGAGGAAGAGAGCAAAGGGTTTGAGCCAGATGACCTTCCCCGAAACAAAAAACGTAGGGCTTGCCTAGAGATTCTTGTCAAAATGAGGATCATAATGATGGTAGCGAAAACAAGGAGGATAATGGTGAAAGTGCTCCTAAACAAACTAGAGTTCAAGGAAATAGATTGGGTAGGCGCGTCCAGTTGTATTCTGTTGCTGTTGTTTCTGTCTTTGATCCGAAGGGTAGTCTAGCCTCCCCCATGCTGCCCCCTCACGGGGTCCCAATTCATGGCAGATAAAAGTGTTTTTGTGTTTTCAACCGCACTAAGACTGACGTCTTTTCATTGGACAGCCGGTTTGCGCGGTCGATGCTAAGAATAAAAACACACACACCAGGCAGAGAAGACAGACTCCACACAGAGAAATAGGGTACACGTGCTACTGCGGACCCGAACAGCTCTTCGCAGGGGCGTACCATGCCATGTGCGGAAGGTGAACTGTGCGCTCAACCAGACTCAACGCCGCAAGACCCTCATGGCCACCACTGCCAAGGAGGATGTGGCGGCGGCTGCACGGCATTTGCGGCAGCATGTTTTATGCAGTGATATTTTGTACGAACGAGAGCTTTACCAAGGCAGTTTGTGCCGTCACAGCTCACTCGAGTACATGACGTGTCTTCTTTCGCCGTCGACTAGTCCTGGTTAGGCTGTAGCCCGAAACTACTGTAGTATCTTATTTTACAACAAACACTTGTTGGCTCCACAGGTTGGAACCACACATGTCGCAGGAAAGAAAGTCTGCCCATGCCCACGCTGGAACTTCCTTCAACAGCAGTGTCGATCCATTTCGTGCTCTGTTGACCCTGCAAACGTGGGCGCTACACCATATAAGTCGAACACAACCTCATTAGTGCCAGACCGGCAATAATGAGGGATTTGCCAGCCCTCAATATAGTGCCGGGTGCCCGGTTTAGTGCCGGTGAACGCTCTGTGCACGTACCGGCACTAAACAGGGCCCAGTACTTACAATGATTGTTGGGATAGACAAGGAGAGATCCAGAACAAACAGTCTTCCCGTTTCCAGATTCCGCCGCTTTCAATCTTGTACATACCAAAATGCAGATTTGCAGTGCTGCTGCTCGCCTTCCACTAGCGACAGAGAAACGACCAACCAGCCCTGACGCCTTCCGACTTAAGACGGGGACAGCAACGACCCGAGATCACGCCGAATATTGGATCGAAGATGGAGAGAGCCCTCTCAACGAGCGGACGTGTACATCATACACGATGGAACGTGAACCTTCCTGCGTCGACGATATCCCCTCGGGGTTACCCCCCTGTTCCAGGGACCAAACGTACTACTGTACACGACGCCCTGCACCACTTAATTCGGAACTCCGGATTAATTGAGGAGTGTCTGTGATACTGACAACAAGATACCATGTGTCTTTATTTTTACTAAAGCTCTAAGTGCCTTCTTGACACAATTCACCCGTCCATTCTCGCCTCCGTCCTTGCTACACGCTACTACTACATACTGTAGACACGGAATGCCTGACCTTCTCCTTACAACACGCCTTTCCTGTAACACTGGCAGCCAGTTCGGAGGGCATGGACTTCAGGTACTGTACTTTGTCGATCATCCCTTTTCGCATGCCATGCACTCAGCAAAAAATCTTCCCGCTCCAGTCCCGATTTATTGAATTATGGAGAGAAATTACTTGGAGACTCGAGCACCAGCGGGGAGGGGGGGCACCGCACCCGAACAACAGTACTTTACACGTCCACACGCGCGAAAACGCTACGCACTCGCACGTCCCTATGCCAATGACGGTTCAGTAACCGTTCTATTGCAGGCCGGTCTACAGTACCCAGAAACACAAATCATATGCCGAACAAGGGTGGTTTCCACAGATGATGCAAAGGCGAAGAATGCTCGCGCCCATGCGTTCCACCGAGTGTCGTTTGGACGGTATACACATCCCTACCACATTACCGCCAATCTCTACGGCTGGATTACTACGCAGTGCAGGCTATTGGTAGCCCTGTGGTCCACCACCGCCGACATCGTCGATGGTGCGGGACGAAAATCGGTACCAACGCCGGTCCTCAGAGCCGGCATCACTACAATAGTGCCATTCGTTGACGATGACGCTATAGGGCCTGGTGAATGCTGGCGTGCCGTGCTGCCGCTTCGGCCGCCAAGTCACCATTGGCCAAGCGGAAACTTGACGTGTGGCCGATCAGCAGGAACCTTGTTGTCGTGCAAGCACGGGGTCGTAGGCAAGCAAAACACGGGGGTGTTATCCGACGTCATGTGTACTTGTCTACTAACGTCGCGTGTGCTGGTCTGGTACCTTGCGATTGAAGAAATCTTAATGAACTCGTCTGTGCACGACTTCCGAGCCTGCAAGCTTGGATACTCACCAGACTCTAGAAACACCTCTAAGGGTTTCTCAACCGACGTTTTCGACCTACGGGAGTGAGAGTAGTAGATCATCGCAACCCCAAAGGTGAGCGGCGGGGTAGCGTGAAACGGGCGGATAGGGTGCACCTCGTGGCCACGGAGTCCTCGTCCGGAGTGACGAAGTACCCTTGCCGATGATACTCCGGTCTAACGTTTGTGGTTCGTGGTGAAGGAACCGAAGGAACCGGCGAGAATGAGAGCCAGGGCAAATTTGACGAAAGAGGGGTGGGGGATGAAAATTAGATGCGACCAACGGTATGATTATGACACACAAATTGCCTATAACGTGCCCTTGGACCGGAAGCTCGCTGCTTTTCTCCAAGCCTTAGGCCTGATAGTTTCCCATTCACAACGCATGTTGGAATACTTTCGCCAATGGGCCGAAGTAAGGGCACATCAACAACAGCACCGCGGTTGGTTGTATGCGACTACCATAGTTCTAACGTGCAAGGGGAGGGTAGGGTAAACGCCAGATAGTTCGCCCTGTTCACAATTTGGGTCACATGGGGACCAAGTTAGCCAATTCCCAACCAATCTGAACCAAATCACCCTGAAGAAAACTGGGTACGACCAAGCAATTCCTTACCTGTCGATGACTTCGCAGACAGCATGTATGGTGGGCGCTTTCGCTACGTTGATGTAGGATTGTTTTACCCTGTTGCCGTGCCCGCCGTGACCGCGAAGTGAAACGCCTTGGGTCGAAAGACTTCCTCCAAAGGCAGTGACCGCAGGAACAGCACTGGTAGCATTGGCAGCCGTATTGGAAGCACTGGCACTGGCAGCATTGGTAGCGATCGCCCGCGCCGGCACGAGCGCCGCCCTCGGCTGTCGTTTCATCGCAACTCGAACCCAGCTATGAACCATAGTATAGGCAAGCGTCTTCCAAGGTGAAGCAGTCATGTAGATTCCTTTGCCGTCATGAACTGCGACATGAAAACCAAGTTCCTTCTCGGCCGAGAACTTTTTCAAAGCTTCATGCACATGTGCTACATGTAGCCTGTGGCTTGTGCCGTTCACTTGAATCAGCCGCCTGGAACCACCACTGCACCATTTCGCACGACTTGCCCAGCACACCGCACAAGTTTATGCCGGCGAGTACGTCGATGACGTAGACGGCATCTCCATATGGCTCCAGTTTTATGCATACTCGACCTACTTCCGAGTATACGTCCACCCTTGGAGGTTTTCCGAGGGTCGCGCTCCCGGTACGACCGCCATTGCTGCCGGTCTGGATCCCAACAAAGGAGTCCTGGTGAGAAGAACGCGGGCTATAGTGCACAGCCTCTTTCGAGAGTTAGTCGCTGATGCGGCGTGCGCGGGGGTTGTCTAAAGATGGGCAATGACCCTCGCCGTTCAAATACAGCGTTTTTCTTTTTGAGACTACCGAAAAAAAAGGGCGCGCGCCTGTTAAATGGAGATGTCTTTCTGATTCTTTCCAACGCACCAGTGGCTTCGGCGAGACGTTTCTGTGCGAACGTATGCTCTGCAAGGCGGTGGAGAACGTGTTGAATCTAGGCTGGTCCCGCCGCGACATGAAGTCATCAAGCACGACCGGTCACGTTGAGGAAGACGGCCAGCCTGAGCAAGGGGTGGGCGACGATGGTGGTCGTGGCTACAGACCTTCCTGCCAACGAGATGGTCTGGAGGCGGTAGCAGCATCCTTGGGCGGAGACAGGGGGGTGGAGATGATTGCGGGTGGAGTGAAACGTGCAGCAATGCTTCGAGCGATTAAGGGGATCTGCAAAACCACGCAGGTATCGGCTGGTCTTGCTGCGTACGTCTTGCGGGTCTCCAAGGTACTTGCATGATACACTTGTTTACTGTCGGTGGTGATGCGGGGTGAACGGGGTACGTAAGGTTATATTATGACACAGATCGGTTTCATGCTTGGCGATATTCAGCGGCGTGGAAGGGAGGACAACACGTAGCTGCATTTTGCACGAGGTTGGCACGAACAACGGTGAAACACCTTCAATTTTGGCTCCATCTTCCCGCCCGCCCGCGCCCGCGCCGCCAATGCCTCACTTTAATACGATCAGGACCAAGCCTACCTGAGGCTCAGTGACGGCAACTGTCGTCCAACGTTGGAGACAGGATTCAGAGAATTCACTGAGGTGGTTTCCTCAAGTAGATAAAGTGAGTCGCGAGGTGAAAGCTGTCGACAGCACGAGTGCATCAATGTGAGTATCCAATATAAGTACCTTCCGTGCACCCATCATATGCGTTTCTCCACACAGCCGAAAATGTTGGCTGTCAGGGAAGCTTTCATTCGACGTGAAGAAAAGCGGTTGCGTTGAGGCCTTTCCCGCGTGATAGCAGTGTGTACCAGGTCAAGGGGACGCGAAACGGCAGGAAATTTCGTACAGTACTTGTACCACACGTAAACTTACATGTAAACAGACGCCCGCATGAACCCACCAATGAAAACAACACTGGATATTGCGTACTCGTGCTGGTTTGGTATCGCTCACGTGCGTTGTCTCTACGGGTGTAGCCTCCATGGAACCAGGCATTAGTCGCAAGACGGCAAAATATTTGACTGCAGCTATCCTTGACGGAGCGACTGTCGAATGCATGTTCCTGGTGCGTTTCTCACAGGGGCTAGGATAAGGAAACGAGAGCAACACTGTCCCCTTCCCAAACCTCCCTTGTCAGATACATTTCATTGACGCATTGCGGCCCATCCTGGGTCGAGGCAGCGACAAATTGACTACGTTACGAGCTTGGCATTTGTACAGCCTCTTTCGTCGCCGCTGCCTCAGCCGAATGGGGTGGCTGGAGATAGAGACGGTTCGGTGGAACCGTAGGAGTGATTTTAAGAAGATCGCCGAAACAAACATATTGGTGAGTTGGTGGTTCTTGTGACGTTGTGACCATTTGATGCTGCAGGTCTATTCTGAACCACGCTTTTCTGATGAGGTGAACACGATTAGCAGCGAACGAGTGTCAACGCCGCACCCGAGCTTCATACACAAAGTAGGTGTGCATTCTACTGGATACACTGATGTTTGTGCTCTCGCCACCACTCCGTCGTTCTGGCATCTCGATGCCAAGGTGCGAGTAGCGCTGACCGTGATCGACACGCTGCAGAATGTCAACCAGACGTGTCAGGTATGCTGCAACGGCGCACCTCATCGGTGCCGACCGTGTGCCGACAGGTGAGGCCGAGGTACGTTAGGAGACACGACATAGATACTGAAGTTCGAGCCACCGGGCCTCGAAAACCCTTTACTGGGGACGTAGCTGAATTCATTGCCGTCGGGGCAGATTCAAGATCTCTCCGCTTCTCGAACACGGGTGCTGTATTTCTCATTCGGTTTGCTCTCATTTCTCAGCCATTCTGTGTTGGATGGGTTCGTTCATGTGTACTTCCGACCTGTGTTGTCCCCGCATTCGGCACATGCGATCGTTGAATAGGGAGGAGGCATAACGGCGCCAGCGGCCCGGTCGAGATGTCGCGATTCCACGGGGGGAGAGTGGGGTGTGTCACGTGTTTAGGAGGCTACAATACGTCGGGACGTTGACCAACCTCTTTATTCTGCTGAATTCTGCTGAGTCGCACGCATATTTATCCCCGTTCTTTTCTTTGGAAGGTTCTGAAATTCATGCGTGCCGTTTTCGTCCCGCCGACCCCCCTCGCTCCACCTCAAAGTGTGCTGGTAGAACACGATTGCCCTCCCGGGGTTACACACGTCTTCCGCCCTCGGGGTTTCCAACCCGATACTGACCCGGGCGCGAAGGGGCCGGCCACCCATCTTCCCGAGGATACACGTAAGCCTCGGGGTGGATGGTTACTGTGTTGCCGGGTGTACCCGTATTATTGTGCCTGTGCGGGCTCACTTTCACCGTACTTTTCGCGCGCACGCCCAGCCGTCTACACGCCACGGGCACTGTCACTCGTACCCGCTTGGTCATGAGAACGGTCACAGGAGTTCTGCCGGTGGAGATCCGAGCAAATGGGATGTGGAACGGACGTCGAGTCGCAGGTAAGGAAGCCTTAACATATTGGTGGAACAACCTGCTTCGCGCACAAGTGGTTACCTAGCGTGAATCGCCGTTCGGTTGGAGTTAGCTAGAAGTTCGGCTTTTTCAGATAACCATTTTCCGCGCTTTTCATGCTGAGAGAAATGCTTGTCCTATATTGCTTGGAGAGCCACTCTTGAAAACGTGATCAGTCCTAGAGGGTCCTGGGGGTGCAATGTGATTTTCGCTGGCGCGATGTTAAAGGGAGCGGACAGCACAGGCGTTGTTGTTACTATCACTTGTAACGTGGGCGTCGAGGAGAACTTTTTCTGCGCGATGGCAGGGTACGGGGGAAAACAAACTTCGTACATTGCACCTTGATATGCTCTCTCTAGCGGCCATATCCAACTACGGATGCGCGTTAGGCTCATTCCCGTCATACCCGACACATCCCTTGCTCGTGTTTGGTGTCGTTCTCGCCTTCCACCACTTCTTCGCCCGTCTCTTCACGTAAATTTCAAAAGAATCTCCATACGCAGTCGGGCGTTGAGAAACAGGTGAGTGTAAATTGGGTGTCGTGGTACACTGCGGAGATATTTGGCACACGTCGATGATGGTATTCAATGTCCGTTGGGTTGGAGTACAGTAGTGTAGAAGAGCACACCAACAACAACAACAGCAACGTGATTTCTGGTTCTTACCTAAATCAAAGGTGCAAAGCAACAAACAGGGCGTGGAACTGCTGATCAAACTGTTCCGTAAGGCCTTAGAGGGCGCGCGGCCCGAGCTAGGCTTCCCGAAGAAGGTGAATCACGTCCGAGGTGTGGTGGTGGTCTTGGTTATTGCTGTCGTCGTCATTGTTGTTTTGGTGGTGCTTCCGGTGGCCAATAGTGATTGATCTCTGTACCGTTTTCCACATGCAGGAGGCTGTGATGACGTTTATCCAGGGCACATCACTGAACAATCATGGTCAGTGAACTTCATGGTTAGGGTTCGATAGAAGTGTGATAAGGCAAGCAGTTCGGGGTGTCGCGTCCCACCCCTCCAGCGACAATCGTTCTCGCATACCATGCATTGTTGGTATGGATTCGTTCCATCTATTCTGGTGCCTGTCTCCAGATGATTGACAAATCAGCAGGTCACAGAAGGTGTAAACGGACCTCCGTTTGCCAACTTACTCGAACGACAACAGAGGTTCACAAAATGTCATCGAAGTGTTTCCGCATCGACATTGATATAGTAAGGTTGTCGACATCATGATCTGGACAGGGAGTAATTCATACCTCGGAAGGCGACTCTCACCGCCGTTCTCTCTTCTGCTGAAACAATGAGCTCGATCCCGGATTGAAACCTCGGTGGCATTCGTGCTGTTTAATATCGAAGGTCTTCAAATTGCGGGAGGATGGTCGCGGGCGGAGCAACCAGGACGTCGATAATGCGAGGGAGCCTCCAACGTGCTTTTCACTCGATCAACATCAGCCGTAGATTAGATGACGTCCTTGTTGAGGTGCCGTTGTGTGTCGCTACGTACCACCGTACCGCATAGTTAGTTCAACCTCGCGTTTTCCAGGTGGTGGTTGTTGGTTCTCCTTCTCACTGTCTGCCGCATTAACAAGCGCGTACAGTGCGTGTGAATTTCGTACTCATCCCCGCCTCCACCACACGAAATAAAAAGAGTTTGTAGTTCTCTAAATAGCCGTGCGCGGTCGGTCGTGCGCCCACCAATTGTGCTGCTGTGAAACGGTGGTATATTTCAGGGGTTATTGTGGCTGCTGCATAAAGGGCATGGCAACCGGATCGGGTGCCCAAGCTGTCAGTATCAAAGAGAAACCTGCTGTGGGGGGGGGAAGCTAAAGTCAGTCCGTTTCCGAAACTCCATTGTCCCTCCTCCGCACGCACGCCAACCCGCAACAACCGCTTGGTCTAAAAACGACCATCACACCTGAATGCATGGCACACACGATGGTAAAACGCTGTAGGCACTCCAGGTGCTCAACGCTTTATCGCCTGTGGCGATCATGGACCAGTGCAGGAGGGGTGAGGGGAGCCTTCGCACACGCCTGAGTAACACCCACCGAGGGACCTCAACGCTGAGAGGCGCGTTGTCATATATCAGCCCGCTGGCGTACCCGCGATTGGAGTGGATACTATCGACGTGAGTGGCAGCCACTCGAACGTGGTGGCTGGAGGAAAAACTCAGCGTCTGCCTGATAACGGCGGTGATGACTGTTTTGGGGTTGCTGGTGTTTCCTATAGCCACCCTATGTAGCAACGTGGCTCTCTTGATGATTACTACCGCGTTGCTGCTACCAAGAGACATACCACGTGCCGAGATAACGGCGGCGCAAAGATGGTGGTTTCTTTGGTTCCATCCGTCTAGCCCCTGATCGCTCTCACGTGAATATATTGTTGCTTTCAGGGGAGAGCTGAGACTGTTGATGAAACAAGAAGCTATCCAGCAAATTCCATGCGAGAAGCAGTTTCTACTAACAGGTACGCGCTGCACCCCGTAGCGACAGCTACAAGTCTCCTGTCGTGTATCAAGCGTTTTTGCTGGCGCTGCTGTTCATAGTTCGGACCAGTGACGTTTCATCCGGAGGGTTTCCGATAGCTTCTCAAACCACTTCTCGAAGATTTCTCCATTGGTCACGAGGCTCAACACTCTACGGCGATGGTGCGGTTTCGGAGCACCTGTGGCACCTGCGGTGAGAAAGGCGACACTTCAACATTCTGCGCGATCACGTTTGCCTCACAGCACGCGCGCCTTCATGCGAGCGTGATGACTTCTGCCGGAGCTTTCCCTGGCGGCTGTGTACAGAATGTTGAGGAGACGCTGGGAGCTCCGGAAACACGCGGTGCCCAAGAAGTGCAATGCTTTGTACGTGCAGCTACACGCTTTGTGGAACCTCCGGTTGGGTAAAAGTGGCAATAAGTGTTGGCTATCTTGATTTCTTGCTGTGCTGTGCTTTTTTCTACAGATAATCCAGCGCGGGAGGAAAGGTTTCAGAATAATAAAAGGAGGTCCGGACCATTTTTTGCATTTCACGGTAGCGTTGCGGATAACTTGCACGGAATACTTAACCAGGGCATCATGAGCATGTCCGGTAAGTGCTCTACTGCTTCGATGAGCTTGAGCGTAAACATATGGTTTCGGTCGCGTGGATTGTTCCTCAGACGATCGCTTGGTGCATGTCACAACCTACCTGTTGCTTCCTTGACGCTTTGGCGTTCTCCAGTCGTCGCAAGGGCAAGACGTTAGCGTGGTTCTGTCGCGTGAACCAAACCGTTTTGGGACCACAAGGTCGCCTACCACGATGACTAGTTGAAAAACTGTAGATCTCTACTGTAGTTGCCGTTTCCTTCAGCCTGGATAACATGTTCGGCATGAACTTTCGTAGGAAACTTAATAACTCTATTGTCAGCACTGACTGGTCAATCTATTGGTTTGATTTCGACTTTAATAGACAGCAAAATCACCGAAAGTGACAGCTACGACAACCAACCATCAACAGCCATCAACACAAACATTTGTGCTTCATGTCGAAACCACTGTCTGTGTCGGAACTCCTCTACACATACTCCTAAACCTCAAAAGTTCCTTGTCATCCTTTGTTTGTTCGTGAGGTTTGTCCAAAAAGGTGGGCGTTTCTACAGGGCAATAGCAATGCCAAGAAGGGCCGGGTGCGATATTTAGTTTAGGACAGCCACCCGTGTTTTCCGATTCCTCCTTTCATTGGTGTTCGCGCTCGGGCCGTGCCCGCTCTCGTGATTTCTCATTCTCTAACCAAACCTGTGCTAGTTTCTATACTCTCACCTCCTTGAGGACAATGCCTCCCATGCCCATCCCTCTTCTTCCTGTCAATTGCAGGCTCGAAGTACATGTCAAATGGGGGCTGTCGGTGGCGATGGCATCTACATGGCTGAGAACCCTTTCCAAGCGCTTACGTACGCGCGCCCAGGTACGAGGGGAAATGGGGTACAGCTGCTGCGAGTGCTTCCAGCGTTGCGAAGGCCGCGAACGCTGCTAAATAGTATGGCCGCAGATGCCAACAATTCTTCCTCTCCTGGTTCTACCTTCCCTTCCGCTGATCCTGCGGCTGTCGGCGCCAAAGGTGGAAGTTTTTCGACGCAAGGCTGTGCTGCCGGTGGCGGCGTTGGGAACGGGACAAATTTTTCCACGATAGTTGCTGTCTGCGAAGTAATCAACAGGTACCCGGCCTTCTCATTGGGCTTGGCAGCCGACACAGTTGGCTAGCCGGGTTGATTGGCGATTGGCCGGCTGGGAGCATGAGGACACGACAGATTGAATAGCATGGGGTGGGACGCTTCGATTCGACCCCCTTCTCCGTGATAATCATCGTCAGCGCAACCCAGTTCAGCTCCCAAGAAAGAACCTAGCGTGCCGATGGCCCATGTTGCAATCGCTCGCTCAATTCAATAACTCTCCGACTGCTGAGCACGGTGAACGCGAAGGCGTACGGCCATGTAAGCAAGCAGTACCAGACTCGCCCGAAAACCACCCCCCTGCACCGCAATGCCAACCAGCCTCCTGCTTGTTTTCGGCACTCCTGACTCCTCGTCCTGAAGTGCTGTTGCACTTGAAATTGTGCTTATGTCCTCTTTCCTTCCCCGCAAAACGTAGACCGGGACACCAGCATAACAGCAAGGCGCATTACGTCATATCGGACGAGAGTTGCGTGGCCATCAGGTGCGTTCTCTGCCCTGTATATTTTCTACCCCTCTGCCTGCATTCAGGGTTGTCGTGAAAGGCTACAGTACTCACTTTGAACAGCGCTGTTGAAAAGATCGGGTGAAGAAGCGCACGAACGAAACGTTTCCAGCGTCAAACTAGTGCCCGGTCGAAACGGGTAGTTTTCGAGGCCGTACAAAGAGACGACGTCCACAAGATCCTTCAATAGCCGGTCTCCTGGCAAGCATATGCACGATCTTGACGCTTGCGTCTCAGGTGAGATGTGCGATGTCTCCCGTGATTGTTTTTTTGCCGCCCCCTTACTTTGGTCACCGTGTTTGCACAACGTTCAAGGTTCCTGCTGATCAACGTCACAAAGCCGAAAACGCAGCGCTACTTTGCCGGAGATGGCGGAGGCTTCGACCTGGCGGCCGCAGCAGCAAGGCAGCACTCTACCATCAAGTACGGATTGAAATAAACCGCACGAGGTATACTGGTATAAGTTTGGTGCGCCAGTGGCTTCGATGGAGACCACAGGGACAGCACAAACTCGAAAAACCTTGGTCACCCTAAGGGTGAAAAGCGTGGCAGAGAAAAACGTTAGAGGGTAGAACGGGTATGTCGTTCACGAGCCGGAAGACATATGGAAGTCTGTTGGATACGTTCGGGTGCTTCTTGATCGAAGTAATGCTGATGCCCCCCCCCTTGAAGGTCAAATTCAGGACCGGGCCATTGGCCTTCGAGAACGTAGACGAAGATTTAGGAAGGAACACTGTAGATGATCAAGACGACAAGTTCAAACGTGATTGTGGCTCCGAGTGCAAAGACCGCGGTCATGTACAGTAGTTGCGGAATATCGGTTGTACAAGAAGGAGAGGCAAGTGTACATGACTGAGCTGGGAAAAGTAGAAGGAAGGTGCAGGGAGATGTATGACGAGTGGGATAGCCAAGAGAGTAGCTGTACTGGGGCATAGGAAGTGGGTTGAAAAGGCGGGAAGGGATATCGAAAGGATAGATAGACTAGGGAAGACCTTTTTGAGCCACCTGTGGCAAAGTAGGAGTAGGAAGGAACGATTGGCCATCGGTTATCGGTCCTGTGGCAACAATGCTCCGTCCTCTCGAGGACGCGTGGTCCATGGTCTAACCGCTAAGGCATGCAAAACATAAGAGTACGCCCCCCCGCCTGCAGCTTCGCTGCCAGAAATTGCTCCGGGGGAGGGGTTCGTAGCACGAAGTGGGCTAACCAGGAGCGGGGGGCTAACACACTACTGGGACGACTTTGGCAGCACCATGAGCACAAAGAACAGTCTACATGAAGAACATCGGGACTACTCCCTCTCTCCCGACAGATGTGCACTCTCAACCCGTGAGACCAACCAATATCCGATCGCCACCGAACGCACAAATTCGGCAACACCAGCACACCCTGCCTACCACCCAGACCTGTCCACGTCATCTCCTATACTACCCGTGCATGACGTCCACCACTTCTACCTCCTACGACGCCTTACAAACTCATTCGCTACGCATCGCCAACAACAACGAAAATTTTGGGATTGCAGCTATGTAACACATCACGCCCACCCCGCATATCTTGGAAGTACATGTAGTGTACAGAGTGCTTCAGCGAACCTGTTGATTACTTCATGCTGGATGATTTCGTAGGTTTGTTGGACTCGCGTCACTTACTGTGTGGTCGTCCGAAACAGCGCAACAACCCCCACCAATAATAACGTTCATTGTAGCGACGATAGTTCAAGCGAAAAGATGACGACGACCCCGTCATCTCGCTGTTGATGTTCCATATTCAAACTTGTCGTTAACCAGGGGCCTTCGACTTTACTGCTTGTGGCTTGGCTACAGATTTCTATTTGGTGTAACCCTAACCTGCCCGAAGGCCATGCAAATTTTATTTTCGAATGACTCAATCAACCGTCCTTCGTTGAGCACTCCAACCGAACCCCCACAGCTGCAAACAACACCGCACGCTCAAGGCTCCCCTCCGGTCATCGCCAATCAAGGCCGAGGTGGGGCACATTGTTCCGTTCTTCCGGTGCTGCTCCTGTCTCCGTGGCTGCTTCGGCATCGGGAACGGTGCTTCCGTCCTCCTCCACTCGTCCCTCTCCTCCTCCCGCCGCCGCCTCCAGTTCTTCCGGCGAAGACCCCGAACCAAGCCCCAAGCCCGCCGCCAGCGGACCATCGAACCAGTTGAAACGGGCGGGCCCGGGGTGAGGAGGGCCAGGTACCGCTTCTTGACCCGCCTGGCACGGAACAGCTCGTTCAGCTGCTTCGTGGCATCCTTGTGCCTCGCGAAGACGACGACCCCTGACGTGCAGACGTCCAGCCGCGACACCGCGTGTAGAGGCGGGGGTAGAGACCGCGACCCGGGGGAAATGCCCGCGACCGCCAGGCTTGCCTGCTGGAAACACGCAGTTCTGCACGCCGTTGTCGATGGTCGGGACCGTCGACACCCCCGCGGGCTTGTCGACGACCACGAAGTCTTCGTTCTTGTGCACGATCCGCTTGCTCCAGTCTGTGACCTGTGACGCTGGGAAAGTCCGGGGGTCGCAGTGCACCCGGACTACCTACATAGCACATCATGTCTTTTGGTAGGGCGGTTCGCGGGCCCCCCCGCTCCCCCGCTACCCGCGACGCCGCGGGCTGCGCTACCCACTTCTGCTGCTGTCACAAATAAATCACGGGAGTCAGGAAGTTCAGGAGGGCGACGACCCAAACCAATGTTCGCCACCACCTACTGTAGCTGTCGATATATTTTAAATGCTGCATGAAAAGGCTTGGTGTTTTGTTGGTGTTTTCTTCGCCAGAAATTAAGAAATACGTAATATGAGGAATTAAGGAAATAAGAGCAGCAGGATGATGATGCGACAGCCTAAAGGAATTAAGAAATCCGTTTATAAGAGATGGCCGACTTCGGGTGGTCCTTGAGCGAAAATAAGAAACTGAGGCTCGACCCGAATGACGTTGTCTCCGGGCCAGTTGGTACCGGGCCAGTGGTACGCTACATCCGCAATAAGCAGCTTTACAGTTCCCGTATCTTACAGAGATGGTCTCACCGGTACCACTATGCCATTTCACCCAGTTGGGCTGTGCCTTCCACGCGCTCCCATCCCCCAGGAGTCACTACTTGCCCACACATGCACATCCGAAGCAGCAGGGCAATATGATGTGTCCACAACCACACCAACACATCACACATGTCATGTTATCCGTGGATGCATACCCTAGACCCACTCTGTGTACTCCACGGAGACCCTTGCGCCGGGACCGTTCCGACGACCAATCCTCGAAGTTTCTCCGAACAGGAGTACGGTGCGAGAGGAGAGCAGCATACACACTTTACCACCTCCGCAAAATTCGTCCGTCTCGAGGCTGTGTGCCTATCCGTAGGAGGAAGGGCTGCTGGGGCCACCAACTGCACAAGCGGACAGCGAGGAGGATATCTGCCCTCGGCGCTGTCTCTCTGCTGCGAGATAGGGCAGCAGCAGTTATCGAGACAGTCCTGGTGGGAAAAGCGGAAAAGCCGGCCAGCCGGCCGGGACTCGGATCGGTCCTGGGTGAGTGTCCTCCTTACCGGGGCAGGCAGCAAACGAGGAGGACCGCCCATGATTTCCGTCCACCGCCCTCTTTTGTGTATCCCGCGCGATAACGCAAGCTGTAGAGTCCTGATTGAACCATCACGTCCTAAACATCATGTGTGAAAACACTGATGTAGCACTCTGTGCGGAGGAACCTCGCATGCAGCAGCCCGAACCGATCATGTCACACTGCTGGTACGCTGGTACTCCAGTAAAGTTGCATAGAAGGTAGCAACCAATGATGTAGGAGGCTTCCTATGCATACGACTACGGAAATAAAAGTTACTGTCATCACTGTGTGCATGCATGCTTATTTCCAAGGACAGGGACAACCTGTCCCGCTTCCTTGTTCTGAACTATGTCGAACACATTTCAGCTGTAGAATCCTTCTGCGTACCCCCCGATCGGACTTCTCCACGCGTGAAAAAGATAATATACTGCTGTACAATGAAGGCAATCGCGTATAATATGTTGTGTGTGGGTCCGACATCCGATTGATCCCGCAAGGGCTTGTCTTAATCCTCGCGGTATTCTTGCCGGTCCCCATCAGTTGGAGTCGCACCAATGAGAAACGCCACGCTGAGCGTTGATGGTTTGATAAAAGGAGGTACAGAGTACAGTCTACAGTTTGCGTAACGGCAGTTTGCGTAATGTCTACCACTGCAGAGTAGATGTTGATGGTTTAGACAACATCAATACGGAAGGCAGTGAGATGAACACACCGCAATGTTCTCAGCAGTGCCCACCGGCTTCCTCCGCAACCCATCAGACAGACACCTAGACACACCGGAGACACAGTCAGCCGGTAAGGCCACAGAACCACGAAGAAAAAATGGGTGTGTCGGCACACACGCGACAAGCGCCCGCGAAAACCCGTGAACATTTTTACCCCCCGGTTGTACATGACCTACAGCAGTAGGCTACACCTGTGTAAACACCAGCGGCACAGTTTCCCTTGTCGTTTTGAGCCGAGGTGGAGCGGGCGGGTCGGCGCTGGGGAAGGCACCTGTAATCACCAGCGTGGGGGGCACAGCTTAGCTTGGTCGTTTTGCCTGGTATCTTGTGTGAGGTGGAAGTGACATGTTCTACAAAAAGTCCATGGGTTTTTCTCATAGCAAACCTTATGTTTTTCTCAACACACACCACTGATCGGTGAGCAGGGTGCGAAATATATATATCTACGTGTACGCACTTCCCCACGGACGGCGTCTCGGAGACTGACTGAAGGCAGGACAGGTGTATGTTGGCATGATTGTATGTTCTCTCGAGATCGACCCCAATCACAACATTCAAACCTTAGCGAAAGGCCGGTGGTGCCTTGCTGTGTTCCTGCTGCACCCGGTGTGGTTATTAGTGGGCTTGGTCCGACCTGCATCGTCCAATCCCTGGGACTTTCGGAGATGGCCACATGACCGCAGTGGCGTTTTCAACAAGTGGAGCACAATGAACTTCAGACTTCCAACTCACTATTATCTACCGTCCACGGCAACAGGTACCAGGTACAACCGCGCGGCGAGGATCACGACAAAGGATCAGATAAACTTTTCCAGGACATCCAACGTCAGCGTTGGCATCAGCGTTAGCACCGACTACCAAGAGGCGCCAGGTGACGCGCCACCAGTCTCGAGAGTGGTTCACAATTTTCGGCACGGAGACCACCACCACCACTACCGCTACTTTTTTGGTCGTCATGTCCGACGATGAGCCCTACAACGACGACATGCCAGACGACGACATGGACCAGCAGGAGGAGGAGGCTTCGGACTACGACTCCGAGTACGCCTGGGAGGAGGGACAGTCCGATGGCGAGGTCGAGAGCTCGACGAAGGGAATGGTACGCCTGCGTGCGGAATTTTCTGCGCTTGTTTCCTTCGTTTGTCGTCCAGCGGGTTCTATGCCGCTCTTCTAAACGTGCACTTGTCGGGACATTTTTGATGGTGGGCGGTAGGGGGCGTTCTCCTTTCAAAGCAGTCTGGCGGATAACATTATTCCGTTATGTATTGGAACAAGAATAGCTTGCGGTGCCAACCCCCGGATCCCGCCGGCTCGTGGAGCAAGCATCATTGTAGTGACCCTGTTCTACCCTTGTGCACCACTATCTGCAGGACAGCATGTCATCTCGCACATCATTGCCGCCCCGCCCTTTCCCTAGTGCGGCTTGTGGGAAGTCTGCGTGGTCGGCAATAGTAGACGGTTGCCCGTCCCGGCTCAATTTGGAAAGCCAAGACGGATGGAATGGGTGACTATCCTATACGGTTGTCCAGTCAAGCATGCATATTGTTCATATTTCCGGTGGTGCAGCGGTTTTCTCTGCGGGAATGCTGCAACGTTGCGAACGCAAAGATTAAACTATTCGCCGAGGCACAACCTCAAGGAGCACACGGCGTCCCACAGCCGAGCGAAGCACTCAGTCTACCCCGTCCCCCGACGACCCGCCCACCCACCCCCGGGCGAAAAACACGCCTGCCAGGACCTCGCCAAGGCAGACGCCGACGCCCTGAACGTGGACGTGGAAGGCATGTTCGCCAAGGTGGAGGCCCACACGTCCACCCTCATCCGCCTCTGGGTGTGCGTGGAGCACTCGAGGCTGTTCGAGGGCCTCGCCACGAGCGCCGTGGAGGCCCTAGGACTGGACCCCGCCAAGGACGTGATGGTGCGAGCGTGTGCTGCGCTCGTGTGTCTTCTCTAATGTCGTATGCATAGAACTCCCGATGCTGCTGCGCTCCACTTGTTTTGTCTGTCGAGTCTAATGGCGTAGAGCTTCCTATGATGCTGCTGTTGCCTTGTTTTGTCGATTATTTCGTCGTCCGTTGAGTGATCAGCGCCGCTGTTGCCCGCGTAAAAGCAGGGGGTGTCGCGCGATTGTGTCTCCCGGGAATTTCTGTTTCTGCGTTTTTTGCTCTCTTCGTGTTGTCTGGGTAGGCCGACGATGCCAAAACAACGCATCAAAGGCGCTTGTGTAGCGCGCACTTGACGAGAGAGCAGCGAGCGTCCGTTCAATCATGCACCTATTTTGACAAAAACAATTGAGAAAGACTTTTGCCTCAACCTACTACATCGTGCGGAAAACACACACGAAGGCGTTTTCCAAAGCCTTGGCAAACGTGGGAAAGGGTTGTTTGGCAGTCCACCAGGTCTCGAGCCCATGCAATAGCGCCGCCGAACTCTTTCGTCGTGGTGCCTGCGCTTGGCGCCGTTTTTGCTGTTTGTGGACTTGATGTGATGGTGTTTGTGCAGGTTATGTTCACGACAGACCAAGATTACCCCGGGTGCGTGCGACCGAAGGTGCAGTGGGCGAGGCAGGTGGACCCCGTCAAGAGCAAAGCGGACGACCTTTGCCCTGAAGGGAGGTAAGCTAACTGCTATTAGGGGATGGTGATATGAGTTATCGAGGATCCCCTCCCCCCCCTCCCCCCCCCCCCCCGATGGTGTGGCAACTTTTAAAGCGAAAACAGCAATGCGCATAGCTGAGACTCAGATTCAAGATCGACGAGCAAACAATGAAACTGTGTCTACCCTTGTGTGACGGTGCCCATTCATCAATATACGTCGTGTATCGGCCGCGCGTTGATACGGTGAAACGTAACCTATTATTGGGTTTTTCTTTCGGAGAAAGATCTGCGGAGTTCGTACGTATCCAGCCGAGTGGAGGAGATGAGAATTTTCGGTATGTGCTCTGGCAAAGAACAACAGTCGGCTGTGACTGTAGCTTCACCAGAAACTAACGGCACGCGCTCTATTTATTTGGTATCACATTTTTCCATCTCTACTACTGTCGCCGTCATCCTCATGTTTCACCGTCCGTCACAGAGTTGGTGCCCTCCGCTCGTGCTTGCCTCTCTAGACGAAGACCTCCCATACGGGGCTGCTGTACCGAGGTCACAACCGCTCACATCACCACCACCACCACCACCACCAAACCCCACAGCAGTCACTTGACGGCAACCAGAAACATTCAATCACTCGAAGAAACGGCCGCAATCCGCCCCCCGGGGTTTCCAAAGAAGCGTTTCGTATGCACCCCTCCCTCTACCCTCACGCCCAGTTTGGCACGGCTAAACGCACGGATGATGACCAGCTTCTGGTCGGTCCTTGCGAAACGTGGCCTGGGTCGGCGAAAACCCGGCACATCGCTCAGTCCCGGGATGCGAGGTCAATGTTTGTAACGACTGCGGCATTCTACATGAGTATACCCCCCCCCTACCCTCACGCCCCCCCGTGTTTGCCATCGGGGTTGGGTTTTCGTAGCTTGGCAACGACGTTGTAAAACAAGCCCCCCCTCGGTGTTTGCCATCGCTATTGAGTTTTCGTCGCTTGGCAACGACATTGTAACACAAGCCATTTCACTTCGTGAACTCGCATCCAGGTTACCGGGGTTTTTTTGCCCCGTTTTTTTTTGTTGCCCCGGTAACCATAATTGTGGTCGGGCAGATCATGTTGTGCGGGGTCGAGAACCCTCACGCCGCGCAAGGGGGATGATCGCACCACGTTGTGTTAAAATGGTAAAGCATCCCCGAGGCAGTCACACAGTGCTTATAACTGTCTCTAGAAGTGAAAGCACCAGAAAATAAATGAAGTCATACGCAGCTGTCATCCGTACGCAAGGAAGTAAGCACAAGATGCCGGACACCCTTAGCAGGATGCAGCGCACCCTTCAGGTCCGGTGCGAACCCGGCGTGCTCCGTCCCGGCTTTGTAGGGATGCGAGGTCAATGGTCTAACGACTACGACATGCACGACTATGAGTACACCCCCCCCCCCCCCCCCCCCTACCCTCACTGCCCGCCGGCTGTGGAAAAACGAAACAGGATCGGCGAGATCTTCCCCCTCCAGGGAACCCTCTGCCAGAAACTGGACGAAGACCTGAAGGGCATGTGGCCCCGCGCGGCGGACAGGACCAGGGTTAGACGCGAAATTTCCGCCCAACTTAGGGGCGGAGGTGGCGGTGGCGGCGGCGGCGGCGGTGGGGGCAGCGGCAGCGGCGGCGGCGGCGGCGGCAACGGTAACGGATCCAGCGGTCGAGCCGGGGTCACCGAAGATGGTGGTGGTGGCTCAGCCGGCGGCGGAGGAGATGGTGCGGCGGCGGCGGCAGTGGCGGCAGCGGCAGTGGCGGCGGCGGGGGCAGCAGGGGCCGACGTGCACGGAGCAGCGCCGCCGTCGGTGGGAGGCGCAGTGTGGACCGGGGGGGGGGCGGCGGCTGAGCCTGACAGCGCGGCAGTCCAGTGGGCGATCGAATCGATCTGCGAGACCACCGGCGCGTCGAGAGAGCTTGTTGCCTACACTCTCATGGTCTCCAAGGTTTGTCGTCTGGAGAGGATTGCCGTCGTGTTGGCGTTGAGGTGGTGGTACATACGGTGTCGACTGGTGTTCGCGGTAGCTCATCGTGGATGGTAACCCACAGGATTGCTGCCAAAGCAATAGCGCAAGGAAATGGAGAACCTGTCAGACAATGTTAACCAGGCATACGACTACATGTCATCACTGTCGATCAACACTTCTCCTCCGCTACCCTGCAATTCCCACCCACCTTCCTACGCACGACTTGGCAACCTCCCGTTGTTGCAGTACGACGAGCACCGGGCACACCTGACCCTTCTGGACGATGGGCTGCGATCCTCGCTGGAGGAAGCCTTCGGAAAAATTCAGCGTCTGAAGGACATGTACCCGTTCGCGGATGAGGTGGGCTTGCTCTTTGTTCGACTCTATTTCGTCGTTTTAGTTTCCTTATCTGGGGGGTGTACCTGTGTAAACGCATGGCGTAGTCGTTAGACCTCGCATCCCAACAATGCCGGCGGGGGGGGGGGGGGGGGCCGGAACCCTTCCGGCCCGAATCGACAAACCCAACGGGGTACCCCCCCTGAACGCCC